AGTGCCTATTATCTAGCAAACACTCAATAAGTACTGGTTATTCCTACTTTCACCAGGATCTAGATGATATTTTACCTTCTTCTCTGTACTCTTCTGTACTTTGACAAACGGTATATATATGTTGGAGTAGTCCTGATTATTAGTAATATTCCAGCAAGAATATTATTTTAAAGATATAATTTGGACAGTGCAACTATTTCTTTCATTTGATTTAATTATTTTTATGTGCTAAAACATATAAAAAACGTAAAATTTTATAAAGAAAGTTAGTAGAAAAAATTATCCATTTGTATAAATATGTAGTCAAGTTTTTAGGAACCCATTTGTGGTGATTTTAAACCATACTCAGAATTCTTTGACACTTTTCTATTCAAAAGGTGAAGCCTAATTTCTCTCCCTTTGAGTGTGTTTAGATTTAATGACCCATTTCTAAACACTAGAGTATGACTGAAGTATGTGACTTCTAAGACTGGGTCATAAAAAACATTGCTGCCTCCTCTTTCTTCTCTCTCTTGAACCACTTGCAATCAGGGAAGCTAGCTATCACGCTGTGGGGATGCTGTAAGAACCATATGGAGAGGTACACATGGTGAGAAATCAAGGCCTCCTGTCAACAGCCAGCAAGAACTGAGGACTCCAAACCAAGAGCCAAATAAGTGAGGTATCTTGGAAGTGGATCTTTCAGCCCCTTCAACTACAAGCCTTCAGACTACAGTCACAGCCAACAGCTTGACTGCAACCTCAGGAGTGACCCTGAGCCAGAATCACACAGCTAAGCCACTATCTGTGCTAGATAACAAATGGTTGCTGTTTGAAGTAGCTACATTTTGGAGGAACTGTCATGCAGTAATAGATAACTAACACACCATCTATGTAGTAAAGAAATAGAAACCACAAGTTTTAGTTCCAATAATGGGAAAGTAGCTTTTATCACACCAACTCTTCTAAAAATAATAATTATAAACTCTGGACAAAATATTTGTTAAAAAAAACAACTTTTAAGGGCACTGTAAAGCAACTAGAAGAAAGAAGAGGCGGGTCGGGGATTCAATTCTTGAAAGAAGGAAGCATATTGGTTATGATCCAAATTAATACGACTTTTGCTCTGAGGAAACTCTTCATTTCTCTTGGTTTAGAGAAGCTAGAACTCAAGCAGGAAAGTACAATCTTATCCTCCTAGGGAGTCATGGGATGGAGTTTGGGACTGCTGGAGCAGAAGGAAATTGAGAGAAATCCCAGAAAGAAGAGAGTTACAGAAGAGGACATATAAACTCCCCTCAAACACTTGATTGACCCCTGAATTTAACATATTTGGGAAAGACTCTAAGAAGTCCAGGAGGAAAAGAACAGCTGGAGGCTGAATGAGCTGAGCAGATATTTCAGCTGCTGCCCATATTCAGCTGGAGTCAACTTGGAGTTTGAGTCTTGTCAACTTAGAGGTCTTGGTAAATGTTCCAGTCCTTCCAGTGAAATACCAGGAGGGTCACGATCTAAGAGTAAAGACTATGTGCTTGGGCTAAAGGATTTTCCATAAGGCTAAGGGCAAATCAGAAAGAGATAAATCATAAAAAAATTAATAATCAAGCCTCTGCAAGTTCAGACTGAACTGACTGCTAGAACAAACTCAACAATATTCGGACAAAGATAACAGAATCCAGAGTCTCTGCAATGTAGCATAACAACGTATACTGCACAATAAAAAGTTACCAGATGTGCAAATAGGAATATGTGACCCATTGTAAAAAGAAAAATCAATCATTAGAAACATATCCACAAAAGACCTAGATACTGGAACTAGTACAAAAGACTTTAAAGTAACTCTTATAAAGACGTTAAAGAGTCTAAAATAAAAGATAGATATAATGGGTGATGAGAAGGGGAACCTCAGAAAAGATGTGGAAACAGTAAAAAACAGCCACATGGAAATCATAGGACAGAAAAGCACAAAAATCTAAAAGTTAACTCCCCCCCCCAAAAAAGCTCATTAGATGGGATTAACAACAGATTGAACACAACAAAAGAAAGGATTAGCAAATCTAAAGACAATGTAATAGGAATCATCCAATTTGAAGCACAAAGAGAAACAAGGATTTAAAAAATGAACACAGTCTCACTAACCTGTAAGGTATATCAAACAATTTAACAACTATAATTGATGCCCAAAGAGAAAAGAGAGAAAACAGAGTTGAAAAAAATATTCGAAGAAATTTTTCCAAATTTGATTTAGAAAAAAAAAGAACAACTCGCTAGGAATCACAGCAAACCCCAAGCTGGATAAATATGAAGAAAATTACACCAAAGGATGTTACCATCACAGGCTAAGCACAGAGAGAGGAAAAAAAACATAAAAGCAGCCAGAGGAACAAATCACGTTTCATAAAGGGGAACTACAATAAGGATGACGACTGACTCATCGTCAGAAACATGGACGCCAGAAGACAATGGAATAACACCTTGGAAGTGCTGGGAAAAAAGCACACCAAGCTAGAATTCTGTTTAGCAAAATTTCTTTCAAAAATGAAGATGGAATAGAAACACTTTCAGAGAAAAGCCGAGATGATTTCTCACCAGTACACCTGCACTTCAAGAAATACTAAAAGAAATTCTCAGCCTGTAGAAAATTTGAAACCAAATGGAAACCTGAAGCTGGAAAGTGGGAAAGAGCACAGGGAGTGTTAAACATGAAGGTAAGTAGATTTCTTTTCATAAGTATTTTAAAGTCAACTGACTGTTAAAGCAAGAATAACAATGCACTGTGGGTTTATAACATGAAGTCAAACATAAAAACAAAGGATGAGAGTGAGTGTGAACGCAAGTGATCTGTTTTAGGTTCACACAGTACATGAAGTAGTATGATATTGATTCCAGAGAGACTGCGATGTCAGGATATACATAGTAATCTCCTGAGCAACACAACAATAACAAAAAGACATTAAGAGGTACAGCACATGGTCAGCTCCAGCGGCATCTCAGAGACATTCCCTGCTGTGTGCCAGCACACTCACAGAGGGAGGCCATGTGAGGGGTGACTGACAGTTGCTCTGCCCAGGCATGGGCTTGGAGGGAGTGGCAGGAAGAAGGGGTGGCTGCCTGTGTGGAGAGGCTGCAGCTGTGGACAGCAGCTTTGGAGACAGGACTATCACAGGTTCCCTGGGGCAGGGCCTGCCTCAACCCCACACTTGCCTCTCCATGGCCAGCCCCAGCACATGTCCCTTATCCCTGCATGACAGGCTCCATGCTGCAGATTCTATTGTTTCCTCAGCACTTGCTCCATTCCCAGCCGAATCCTCCCATGTGAGGCGCAGGCTGTGCCTTCGGGCCTCTAGCCTCACTGCATGCTTGCCCTGCCTCTCCAGGGGCTCCCTGTCTGCCCCTGTCACTTCAGTACTTGGTCCTGGACTGTCTTTCACATTGGCACTGCTCATCTCAAAGACACGCTGAGCTCCTGGAGGTCCCAGACTATGTCTGTCATCTCTTTATTCTCCCCCTCAGTGGTAAGCACAGTATTATACATGCATTTCATGCTCGAAGATATTATGCATTAATTTAAAAATATTCCCGTTCCCAAGCCCTGGAAGGAGAGGTGCTCTCTCCAGAATCTGGGAAACTCGGGTAAACAATTTTGCAAAGAATATAGAGCAAATCTAGTGAGAACAAACCATCTTCATTGTGTACTTTCTCTGGAGGGTCTTTATGGACGTGACTCCACTCACTCCTCACCACAGGCCAGGATGTGGTGCTGTCCACCTGCCTGACTCCAGGGCCCCCTCTCAACCAGCATTCCTCAAACTGTGTTTGTGGTCCACCCTCTGGGATCTTGTTAGAATGCAGATGATGACTCAGTAGGTCTGGAATGGGGGCCAGGATTCTGCATTTCTAACAGCTTCCAATGTTGATGCCGCCAGGCCAGGGGCTTTGGGGAGCCAGGTTCAAACAAGCCTAAAGGTGGAGTCTACCCCTCACTCAAAGCAACATAAGTCATTTTTATTGTTTTTCTGAGAGTCTGAGCAGGAAGGATGGAGGAAGCCAGTGACTCCTTGCAGACCTCAAAGCCAGTGCTTTCACAAGTGGCATCTGACCTCATCATCGCAACAAACCTGGGGAGACAGATGCATCATTGCCATTCTTCCCCCACAGGTGAAAGAACCTGGGCTCAGAGAGGTTACATCAGTTGCCCAAGTACACACAGCCAGTGGATGGTGCAAATGGGATTGGTACCAGGTCAGCTTGGTCCTACAGCTCATGGGCAGACTTCTTAGGGATCTTTACTCATTATCAAAAGCTCCAGGGAGGGGCCAGCCCAGTGGTGTGGTGGTGAAGTTAGTGCATTCTGCTTTGGTGGCCTGGGGTTCGTGGGATTGGATCCCAGGCACAGACCCACACACCGCTCATCAAGCCATGCTGTGGCGGTGTCCCACATACAATGTTCTGGGGACAAATGTTAGCTCAGGGACAATCTTCCTCCCTGCCCCCAAAAGAAAAAAAAACTCCAGGGAGAACTTACACATCTCAACACAAAAGAACTATCTACAAAGGAGCAAGGCCAGGTGACAATCTCCTGATTTGTTCTGCAGGACATGCCCTTGGGGGTTAATGCTGTCACAGAGTGACAAATCCCAGCGACTTCAAAGATTTTCAAGGGAAAGGGTAGGCAGAGAGTCCTAATTAAGTAAAAGTTGGGGACCCTCTTTTCAAAACTCAAGAAATTCCCCAGAGAATGGGTGATCCGGGAACTCTTGGCCCAACTTCACCTTGTGCTGCTTGTAGCAGAGCTGAGGGGGCTACAGCTGCCCCCACAAAGGCAAAGCAGGAGGGAAGGCGGCTTCCCAGCACAGCCATCTGAGTGAGCCTGAGCACCTCCAGATGGAGAGATAAGAGTCCCAGGTGAGGCTGCAGTGCCCTGAGGCTACGTGGACAGTCAAGGACCATTCCTGCCCACGGCGTGCACCTGCTCAGTTCCCAGGCTCAGCGATGTGTACCTAACAGCTCCCGGACCTTACCTCCTATCTTTGCATTGTATGCTATGCCCACGATGCAGTAGGAGTTGTTGGCTGAAGCGGCCACTTCTCCTGCACAACGAGTACCGTGTCTAAAGCAAAGGAAAAAATGAAGTTAAGATGCAGCCCAGCAATTTTTAGTGAATTCAGTGCATTGCTCAGTTCTCATGCAAGAGTCAGTTGTCTTTAAGCCAGGGAGTGACACTAAAGCCCATTTCCTGCATCCTTTCTCATCATTCCTCCTCCTCTGATGGCCGGCTCTAGGAGGGAGCCATCAAGGCTTCGCATAGCCCTGGCAGTCCTGTCCCTGCCACACTTGTAGGCTGACCAGGCCTTCCACCGCCTGCAAATGGCGAGCGGTTGCTCGGGTTGTCTCTTCCCATACTCCTACATCTCAGGGAGGGGCTCTGCACCCAGCGCCCTGGGTCCTGTGCTTCCCTCCTCCCAAGTTCTGCCTTCCTGTGACCCACGACACATTGCTTGGCATGTACAGGTGCAAGGTAAATGCCTGCCTCGCTGGCAGGATGGGAGAAAGAACAAATCAGTGCTTACGCTGTGTCCCCTGTGTACCTATCACCCCCACGCTCACCTTGGGACAGCCCTCCCACCATTTCCAAGGCCATGTAAGCAGAAGCAGAGGAATAAGGCTCTCAACCAAACAGTCAACAGCAGCAGAGGGACTATGAAGAAATTATCAGAAAAACAAATTGCTTTCCTCAGTAATGACCCCATTCTCCAACGTGCTGCCTCGGGTCAGTGCCTCCAGCAGAGGCCAAAAGATGGGCATGTTTAAACACCACATCTTTGAGAAGAGTCCGCGAGGGATTAGAATCATTGATTCAAATTTAAAATCGCCTTTAAAAATCGTCCTGGTCTGTGTGTTAGCCCTCCAGAAGGGAGTCATCTGTCCGTCCTTGGACTTTGTGCAGCCCCACAGCCAGTGCAGAGTCGCAGAGCTCGATGTCTTACCCGGGGACTCAATCCTGCCCTTCAAGGGTCACTGCATAGTGTTTGGATCATTCCTCCCTGCCCCCTGGACGTGTGGCTGGGGAACGAGGGCCCTGCACCCCAGGCATGCCTGCTGCTGAGCAGGAAGGGCACCTTGGGACGTGGGGCTGGGGCCTGTGTGGCTCCGGGGAGGCCTGCAGTCTGCGGTGCTGACCGCAGCAGCAGCCGAGCCTTGCTGCACGGCACCATGTGGGCACCAGTATTTGAGCCTCAGAATCGAATCTACCAAACATTGAAATTCTATGGAGGGAGGACGCACTCTGGCAAGCGTTGTGTCAACAGTGGGGAGGAAAGAAAGGGCTTTTGTTCTTTTCCTCGAAATGTTTTTTTAAGGATAGTGAGAGCTTGGGACATGGGCATGCTGACAGAGAAAGGACAAGCAGGACACAGCAAACGACCTCCCAGGACCAGGTTTGGAGAACTGGACTCTAAGTCCAGGCCTGCCATTTACAGCCCTCAAGTCACCCACTCTCTCCTAACCACGCCGCCTTCATTGCAAGATGATGTAACGACCATGGTTTACTGAGCGTCTGTGTGTTCTTCGCCTGTCATCTCACTCTCCAAACTCTGGGAAGTAGGGAGCACTTCCACAGAATAGCCTCTAAGACACAGAGACGCAATAAGGTTACTCAACCTGCACCCAGCCACACAGCCGGGAACGGTGGAGCTGGGAATCGAACCCAGATTTATCCAGTGTCGCCTGTGCCCCTTCCACCTCCCTCAAAAGGTCATGGACAGTCAAAAAAGCTCATGCACGTGCTCCAATAGGCCAAACTGCTGTCTTAACACAGCTCATCATGGAGACCACCAAGGGTTATCCTTTTAAAACATTCCAACAAGGTTGGGAGTAGGAACAATGTTGGTCAAACATCCATTGCTAGCTGACCAGCAGAAATGATGCCCCTAAGGAAGAGGCTAAATCCACAGAGGCTGCCTTGTGCCTGATGGGCTGTGTCAGGTCTGGATTCTGCTCCTGGGTGAGCTCCAGACACCCGCCAGGCAGCCAGAGAAGCGCCGCCAACCCCATCACCTCTCCAGGATCCCTTCTGTGGGCCAAGTCAGCAGTGATTCTGCAGGGAGGAAGAAGGGAAGCAGGGAAAGAGACTAAGTGACATACTTATTTTCATTGCTGGCATCATATCGTGGAGATGGGTCGTAATCATTTCCGTTGACATCATAGCTCGCGTAGGAATCCTAAGAAATGAAATTTAGTGACTGAAGAGAAATGGCACAGCCTATTACAACCCCGTTTTAAATTATTTTTATGCCTTTATTGGAAAATAGAGAAAAACACACACTTGGTACTCCCTCACCATAACTATCATCTCAGATATATTTTTATTGTGGTAAAATATACATAACAAAATTTACCATCCTAACTGTTTTTCAGTGTACAGTTCTGTGGCATTAAGTACATTCACAATGTTGTGTAACACTCACCAGCATCCATCCACAAAAGTCTTTTCATCTTGCAAAACTGAAACTCTGTGCCCATTAAACACTGACTGCCCATTTTCCCCTCCCCCAGCTCCTGGCAGCCACCATTGTACCTTCTGTCTCTATGAATTTGACCACTCTCGGAGCCTCGTGTAAGTGCAGTCACATAGGATTTGTCCTCTTGTGACTGGCTCATCTTACACAGCATGTCTTCAAGGTTCATCCGTGTGTAGCATGTGTCAGAATTTCAGGTTCACCCATGCGGTAGCATGTGTCCGAATTTCCTTCATCTTATATTTTTAATATGTATGTTTGTGTTTATATACTCATAGTATTCATATAATTTTGCATCTTCCTTTCAAAACATATCGTATAAGCTCTCTGGTGTTGTCGACACAGACTTCAAAACTGTCATCTTTAAGGGCTGCAAAATCGTATATCTATCAAACGGATATGATATGATTGACTTAACCACTGTTAGGCACCCGGGTTTCGTAGACTATTGAATGCATTTATCATGTTGAGTATGTGCCAGGCTCTCTCCTTTACATTTATGAATTCATTTAATCCTGATGATCACCCTATGAGATGGTAGTCCTATCATTAACCCCATCTTACAGATGGTGACACTGAGGCACAGAGAAGTTACGCAACTTGCCCAAGGTCTCAGGCTAATAAGTCACAGGACCAGGACAGGAACCCAGGCAGTTTGCATCCAGAGCCCATGTTTTAACTGTCATTTTTCTTGTTTTTAATGTTGGTCTGATGATTATCTCCATATACGTGTTTCTGAGATCTTTAGGATCCATTCCCAAAAGTATGATGTGTGACTCCTCAAACACGTGGATGAATCCCTCTGCAAACCCGCTCCCTGACTCCAGGAGGGCAGGAGACAGTTGGTTTCACCAACCTTCCTGAGCACGGCTTTCTGTACTGCCTAATATAATGGGGGGAAATGGCGCCTTGCTGTTATTTTTAATTTGTACTCATTTAATGACTAGCACGGTTGACAATCTTTGCATGTCAGTTCCAAGGCTTGACTTACATAATTTGGGGCCAGGTCGGGGTGATTCCTCTCTATGCCATCATCGAGGATGGTAACCACCACGTTTTTTCCCGTGTAGCCCCTCTTCCATGCTGCCTGGACGTTCATTTCCGAGCGGCAGCGACTGTTCTTGTCACCACAATGCTGTATGCACAGAAGACACAAAGACCCCCAAAATGGACACTCCTCATGCAATGGACAGGCCGTGCACACCAGAGGCGCTCTGATGCTTGCAGGTAAACAAGGAGGAAACACTTCCCATGCCCTTTGGAGCGAGGATGCTCTTTGTCCCACCCGTTTCCAGGAAGAGTAAACGTGGAGGGCTCCAGGTGCTTCTCCTGCACCTGGCAATCTGTCTGCCATTTTCCTAGGGCATCACCTCCACGCAGGGGGCTGTGTCCAGGGACTCATTTTCACCACTTAGTCCTACAGCCTGCATCACATTGCTTCCCTGCTCAAAGATCCCCCTCCTGGGGTTCACGCAATTTCAGAAAAAATTCACAACAACGCTTGTGCTCCTCAGCGTTAAAGTTGTGATTTTACACTCCAGATGAAGTGTATCTCCTTGGAGTGATCATGAGAACTTAGTTGTGGTTTTTTTTTTTTTTTTTTTTTTTTTTTGCTTGACGAAGATTGGCCCTGAGCTAACATCTGCACTAATCTTCCTCTGTTTTGGTTGATGAGTGGTCTAGGTCTGCACCTATGATCTGAACCCACGAACCCAGGCTGCCGAAGCAGAACATGCTGAACTTTAACCACCATGCCACAGGGCCAGCCCAGAGAATTTAGCTTTGTTGGGGGAAATCAACCCACCTCAGAAAGACCGCATGGCAAATGCCTGGGGGCAGAGAGAGGCCCACGCCCTACTCACCATGTACCACATGTTGGACCAAATGGGGTCGTTGAAATAAAGGGCCTGAGGGTCACTTCGCACCTGTCTCTTCACCCTCCGTTTAACTTCTTGTTGTTGGAGCCATTTCACCTACCAGGAAGAAATGTAGTTACTGTTCATTTTAAAAATGACCTCCTGATTTTACGTAGCCTCTCTGTAGGTGCTACAGGTTTCCTTTTTCATGAATAGCTGTGTCATATTAGATGTTCAGGATGCTAAGTTTCAGGGAGACATTTTCACTTCAAAGTGACATTTGAAAAATGAGAACTTGTTTGCGTACGTGGAGGGGGAAATAGCACCACTTGGACGGATTCTGAAATCATTCTACTGAAAAAAGACCTCGTGAAGTTGCCAATAAATTGTCTGGTGACCTTCGTCCTGAATTAGAAGGAAATACACGTATAGGAATGGAAAGAGCACAGAGAGGGGAGAAGTGGGTCAAGTGGTTATCAGACGTTGGAAGCAAGATGCTTTGCAGTGAAGACATGAATAAGGAAATCACGATAAACCATTTATTGGAATTTTTAGCAGCCACTGGTAACATGGTACCAAAATATGCATAGAGAACACTATAGAAAGGAATATGATACAGAAAATAACAACAGCAGCAATTCCTTGGTGGTGACACTATTGCTAATTTAAACATTTTAAATTATTTTCAGGGTTTTATAAATTTGTTTCAATTGGCATGACCTGCCTTCACAATCAAGGAAAAAAGTTTGAGGGGCAGTATAAATGATATTTAAGAGCAGGAATCCAGGAGTCTAGCTGCCTAGATTCAAAACCCAGCCACACGCTCCCCAGCCGTGTGACTCAGAGCAGTCAGTTAACCCTCCCGGCCTCAGTTTGCTCATCTGTGCAACGGGCATCATCGTGGGTTGTAATGAGGGGGCACTGGCATATGAACTGCCATATATAAAGTGCTCACATCAGTCCCTGGCACACAGCCGTACTATCATCGTGTGTGTGTGTGTATGTAAGAGTTTTTCAAGATGGAAGAGGTTTTTTTCACTTTTAAAAGATTATGGGGAAAAGAATTTCCAAGTCCTGAACTGAAACATTTTCTTGCTCCTGCTCCCGTGGTCCCATCTGATTCAGTCCTGCTCCTGCTGGGGCTCAACCCAGCGCCGAAGCCAGACGGGCAAGATTTCGTACTCTGGTTGGGAGCTCCCACCAAGAAGCTGAGACTGTGATGCAGCTCTGAGGAGGTGAAGAGGTGGCACAGGGTGGGGAAGGTGGAGGGAGGAGGAGAAGGAGGAAGGATGGGAGCCTCAGGCAGGGGGCAGTAGGGGCCCAGGGTGGCCTGGAGGCCAGGCCAAGGTTGGCGACAGAGCAGCCGTGCAGCCCCTGCAGAGAGGAGCTGTCTGAAGTGCCTCTTGAGGAGAAGGAAGGCGCCCAAGGGCCAAGGGGCAAGAAGCCTTCCCTCAGGCCTCCCGCAGCCTCAACTTGCTTACATTGTCCAGAGGGAGGAGAGCAGAACAGCCCCATACGCAGCCTCACATTTAAGGGTGGGGATTGATTTCAAAGGCATCCATGGTCGACAGAACAAGATACTTAGAAAGAAGTATCACAGCCTGTCCCACCACTACTGTGATTTGTCCATAAAACACCAGTATACCAGAAATAGCATAAAGAGCCCCAAAACAATATGGGTTAGGCAATAAAACAAGCCTCAGCCCCAAGTCTTAGCTAATTTATAAGCACCACTGATAGACATCGCCATAGAAAATAAACTATACAATGAGATGTTTTGTCCCTAACACCTCCTGATGGCATTTTGCAACTTCCCCATATATTACTGTCTGAACCAGAAAGCTTTGACTTGGTACAAAATACCTAAGATAGTATTTCCTAATCTCCTAAACATCCTATTATAAAATACAGCGGCCCGTATATCACTAAAGGCTCCAGGCTCCCAGGATATTCCCATCCACCCTGCCTGGCTGACTCACTGCCCATCTTACTAACATTCAGGGCCTTCAGACTGCTCTGCCCACCCGGCTGCACTTCCAATCACAGAGCAGGAGGTGCCTCTCTCTTCCAGGCCTGAGTGGATGACTCCCCCAAGTCAGGTGACATAGGAAAGCATGCTGCCAGAAGCCACAACATAATCCCCTGGTGAGATGAAAGAGTGTGGGCATCCTGGCCCCTAATCAAGCTGGGCTCTGGGTAAAAACCCATCGTTAACACACAGTTCTGGGGGTGGGCAGGGATAGCATGGGGTTCGCAGCACAGTTTGGGGCTCTTCCTCTGGTGTGGTCTCGGGGGCAGCCCTCTCCCCTATGACAGGTCATTATAAGTCTCTGACGGCCACGGAGGCACTGCTAGGCTAAAGGAACTAAAGATAATAAATTATTCGCCAGGCCTGGGGCCTTCTGGGCACAGACCCTATGGAGATGGAATCACAGGTGACCTCACAGACACAGAGGCTGATTCAGCCAGTGGTCACTTGGTCTGGGCCTGCTTCCCATTTCCCTTCTCGGGGCTCCAGTCACTGCCTTACTTCTCACTCAACCCCCGGAAAGTACAAGGAGTTCCTGCCACTTGCCAGGTCTACCTGTCCTGTTTCTCTGGATAGAAGCTCTGCTTCAGATACCCCTCAGGTTGGAACCCATGAGCCACCTGGACTCTCTCGGAAGGTCAGAGGTGCTGATGACCCAAAACCAAGTGACTGAAACTTTAACTATCCCACCAAACAGTATCTGCACCTGTCCTTAATAAAGGGGTACCCTCGCATAGGCACGTCCAAGGGTTTTCATTCATGAATTGTGATGCTATTTATGATAAAGGAATACACAGCTTAGGATCTCTAAGGATGTGTCACTCACGGAATTGATTCTGCTGCAGAACTTGCAAACAAAGGGTGAAATGGTGAGTCGGTGATAACTGTGGAAGTCAAGGCTGGGAGGGAGGCTTAACCGTGACTATTTTCTCTTATGCATGCAATTCTCTTTGTTAGAAAAAGCAACGGAAGATTCTTTCTAAGATTTAAAACATTCTTCCTCTTCTGAGAGGGCTAGTACAAATGGGAATTCATAATATTTCTCTGGCAGTTCACCTGGATTGTCACTTTACACTGAAGCTTCCATCACGGTCTATTCTACAGGAGATGTTCAGACCTTCTCTTGGTCAAAAATGCACGGGAAAGCACAGCAGCACACAGTTATCCATCTTTCACAGTCACAGACACATAGCTCGGAAAATAAGTCCTCAACCCAAGTAAGCCTGCCAATGAGTGAGCCAGGGGCAAACTAAAACACGTTTTGCGGCTATGTATGGTAAGAATTGAATTCTTATGGAGGGTCCCCAACCTTTTTATGAAGAGAATTGACTACTTTTCAAAACCTTCAGATCACTGGATTGAAGGAAGGGGAAATATTACTGACAAGAAAGTTCCTGCTCACTCTACTTCATTCTCTGCAGGTTTTGTAGTGGGTTAAATGGTGGCCTCCCAAAAGCTATGTCCACGCAGAACCTGTGAATGTGACCTTATTTGGAAAAAGGGTCTTTGCAGACGTAAAGTTAAGGATCACAAGATGAGATCATCCTGGATGATTTGGGTGTGCCCTAAATCCAATGACAAGTGTCCTTATAACAGAAAGGCAGAGGGAGATTGAAGACACAGGAAGGAGATGGCCTTCTGAAGACAGAGACAGGTTGGAGCGATGCAGCCACACACCAAGGCATGCGTGGGACCACCAAAAGCTGGAAGAGGCAAGGAAGGATTCTCCCCTAGAGACCTCAGAGGGACCACCACCCCAGTGACACCTTGATTTCAGACTTCAGTACTCCAGCACCGTCAGACAACAAATCTACGTTGTTTCAAGGCACCCAGTTTGTGGTCCCTTGGAGACAAACACAGTTTTAAATCATGGCCTCAATCAGGGTTGAGATTTCAAACGTTTAAGAATCCATGAGGCTATCCTGCCAAAGGAGGATCTGGAAGCCAGCTTTAGAAGCTTGGCCAGGTCTCGCCTCTAGTTGCTGGTGATGAGAATACACAGGATCCCAGAGGAGGGGCCACGGCGGCTGAGGCTGTAGGGAGGTGCCCTGGGGTGGGGGAGAGGAGGGTCGACGCAGCAGCTCTTTACCAATGTTTTAAAAACTGGAACAGCCATCCTGGCGTACCCACTAGTGCCAGATCTGGCTAGAACCACCACCCACACGGCCCTGTAGCTCCCATCCCAACCACTCTCTCCTCTGCACATAGCCAGGCACGGCACACCTCTCCCCGCTGCCATCTCAAATTAATGCTGTCCCAAAGTGAGTCCTGCTCCCGACCCAGGTCCCACTCATCCTCCTGCCTCTCTGATATAACTCAGCAGCACTAAAACCCACCTATTCCCCAAGTCAGAACAAAGCAGGACTCTTCTCCAACCCTAGTGTCTCACATTCAGTCTCCTTGAAGTGTCAGGATCCCATCCTCGCCATTTATCACCATGGCCACTATTCCCTTGTCTCTGGATGGTCATGTCACTGTTGGGGTATCCCTGCCACATGACAACGCATGATGCAAATCTGACTGCCTGCACCCCACGCTACCCACAAGGCCCTCTCCAACCTGGTCTTCTGCCTCCACGCCCAGCAGGGCTGAGCTCTTATAGTGTCCTGCAGGCTGGGCTGTGTCCTGGCTCTGTGCCTTCTGACTGGAATGCCCTTCCTCCTCTCCACTGGGCCAACTTTACTTGTATGCATCTTTTAACCCTCACCACCCTGGAACTAGACATCCAGGCTCGCCAGGGTGGGGGCCCCCCTCCGAGCTCCTATGCCACCCTGCATGTATCTTTACCACCGCCTTTACCCTAATACATGGACACTATTTGTGTAGAGGCCCGCCTTTCCCCTCAGAGGGAGGGATGCGTCTCAGTCATCCTTGTTTCTCCAGCTCTTAGAAAACGCCTGCCCTGTAACAGGTACTTGCTTAGCAAAGATTTGTTGGACCAAACTATTATCCTCTTTCTTAAAGAAAAGGCAAATTGAAAACTGATGCTGGATGAATGAATGCAAAGTTAGGTGTGTCTCAGCCAGAGGCTGAGGGTCTGTCCTGCACCTTGCTCCTCCAGCACTGGCTGCAGTCTGCGACTGGATGG